GTGGATCGTACTTTTAAAACCGCTCAGGAGCGGCACATGTGAAGCGCAACCAAGGGCAGTTGTGTCCGCGACGGATTATAGGATCCAAGATGGAAGACCGGCGAAGACGTGTCAATAATACAGGGCGTCGGCACGGCAACACCCAGACATCGCCGGAACGCCTCCTCGGATGAGCACAGTATATGGCGGAAATTATAACAGCAACGCAGACTGATGATCTGTGCTTGCAAAGTACGGCCCTTGCACCCGTGAATCACATCGAAGGTCTGATGACGCAAATCGAGGAGATTAGGCAAGAATTCTCCTTCAGTTGTTGAGTAACTTCAAGATCAGGATTTTACTATTTGACAAAGGCCTTACCATCCACGTGAAAAGCTTGGCTCGACAGGACGACACTATTTTGTTCAAACTCTTCAGCGTCGTCCTCGAGGACATCAAGAAAGAATCCAGGAGCCTGAATGGGAAAACATGGGGAGGGAGAGCGGGGAGGGGGGGGGGGGCGGAGATGGACGGCCGGTGCACCAGCTCCGCTTTGTTGACATGGGCGTGCCATATCAAAGAGCAACACCAGCGAGTGCAGGATGCTTTCAACTGCTTCTGAAATTAGCACTCGGGAATGTCGGTCTTCTCTTACCGCTCTAATCTGTATCTCACACTGCGGATACAGAACGAACATGGGTCACTCATCGTGTCCGTTTGATTTTCCTTTCTTCCGATTTCGGATGTCTGCTAAGAAGGTTGGCGATTCGGAAGCGTGATGTTTGAAAAAGGAACTTTGGGTAGAACTGGGAACAACCATGTTTTCTTGATTTTAACGTACCTGACACACTTTTCTTCGTTTAGCAGCCTCTACGAAATAAAATACAGCGTTTGAAGCAGATCTTACAACAGTGCCACCCCCTTCAGAATTGCGAGGGTCATCCTGCAAACTGAATCGATTTTCACTTGCAATTAGTATTGCGCCCTGTTGGCCGATATATGGGCAGTGAACCTATACAAGCACCTAGAAGATCACTTCCTTACAAAACCTAATCTGCTGGAAATCCCTTTATTTGTCCAACGCTGTGGACACCGTATTACCAGGCAACGGTTCAGACTTTGCAAGGAACGTTGAATGGAGATCTAGGTAGAACAATATCCTCTAATATTGGCTGGAGATGAAGAGGGTTGATAGGATCTCCCGTACGGGCCGGAGTTCGCCAAAAATACAGTGTCGGCGTAAGCAGAGTTGACTCCGCAGCGATATCCATTGCCAGTGTTGTACGGTAACGCCCTCGCTCTGATAGAGGTAGAGCAAACGAGTCTTTGTGGGCCAGGGTCAAGCATGCGCCGCGGAATTCCCGACGGGAGGGGGCGTATTCGGCCCGCCTCGAGAGCAGGAAGGTCGTATTCACAAAGGCTAGCTTCAATACAGCAGCGACGAAGCTTGCAGGATCTCGTGATGCTTTCGGAAACGGTGCATTCCACGAAGGCGTTGATCAACACCACTACGCTGCAATTCCTATTCACCATACAAGGAGAAAGTGTATGGAAAGCCTACCAAGCTTTCCAGGTGGAAATGTAAACTGTATGGAGGGAAGCCTCATACAACCCTCATATGACCAAAATTCGCAAATCGCGGATTCCGTCTTGAGAGTCATACAGCTGAATCTCAAAGCGGAGCCCGCGATGGGCGAATTTCGGTCATAGTCAAGCTATAGCAAACATTTTAGGGGCATTAAAAAGTGAAAAGATCTTAGTTTCCTAATGCCGTGCGTGCGGAGCTCCCTCCCGCATTATGTCTGGAAAAAGTTGTAGCCTAAAAGATAAAAAAAACAGCGCCGAAGATTAATCCACCTTATTTTCAGGAGGAATCCCAACTAGGGTTGGCGCATTTGGCCGCCGGGAGACTGGGTCGTATTTAGGCCAAGAAAAACTTATTTCGATAGCTAATTTTTCTCGCTTTACGAACGCTGTAAAAAGGGAGTCGTATCTACTCTTGGCCTTCTACGAGGATGGTGGGAGTGCTGGTTAACTTTTTGTGATTTTTCTGTTAAGCAAGTACTATACCCCCCCCCTTCGGTCCCTCGACGGCTCAACTCGATGAGGAGGGACAGAGGGCCTTAGGAAGGGGGTCGTACGGACTCGACCAAAATCCCCAACCAGTGACGTGCCCTGATTATTTTTCTGCCAGAAGCTATCATAGAAAGCTAAACGGAAGATGTAGCGTATTCCGGATAGACCCTGCTCATACAACATCAATCGTTATTACCACTCGGCGATGTGAATGAAGTGATACCCTTTGAAAAATACAATGTCAACGCAATGAGCCCATAGCGCTTCAGTCTCAATATGCACGCGGACGCAGTATGCTCAATGCCTCGGCTTCGCTCTTTTCGTCCGGACGGTGTCATTGTGAGGTTTTTTGGGAACTCTACTTCGCAAGTTACACAAATTACACAATTTGCTTGTTTTGTTCAACTGGTTTGGTAGAAGTTGTTCCTAGATAGTCATATACTTACTCGGTAAAATTTGCATAACACACAACTTACACGGCTACATCCTGTGGAACAGAGCAGATACCCCCACACACTCCACAGTCGAACGGGGGTCGTGTTGACATTCTTAAAGGGACGTACCAACCCCCTCCCCCAATTTTCCACGACGTGATGCTTGATTAGCTTGTAGATTTACTATAAGGCAGAGAGGCGGCAGTCATATAGCGGCTAGCCAACAGTGTACTTCTAGCAAGATTTTCCTTCCCAGAATTTCTTTGGGAGAGTCCCGCGGCATTTTTACTTTTCATTTGCAGCTAGAATTCCGTACTCAGTCAAATTACCCGGATCTCTGTTCATCGTTCCATGGGAGCTGAGACCGTTTCCCGGCTAGAATTTCAACATGTCGTCCTGCTTTATGTCCTTCTTTGCATCTATGTATACTACTTATCTCTGAGCCAGAGTAGGCGTGGCATTTGAACATGGTAATTGGTTACTCGTGGAATATTCCAGTCTGGGACAACTGTCATCTTGTTCTGTCTGTGTTGGACAGAGACACGACAACAATTGTGTCAAGATGAAAATATCTCACCAGAAGCATAGACACCTTCAGGTTAAGTTGAAACATGCGGCCACGCCTACCCGATCTCAGGGATTTCGAGTATACATATCAACGAATTTCACAAATTGGACCGCAAGAACTCTACCTGAAATAAAAACGACTCCGGAAGGCCGAAGGCGCGGCCAACCCAGTTACTGACGACGTAGTCCAGTTCTTCAAATGGAAGGCAGGTGTCCTGTGAAAACGATCTAGTGAAGGAAGTGTTGGAAACCGCTAGTAATCAAGCCTTTAAGAGTCTACGTGCTAGTCTACCTAGTCTACTATTTCCACCTTTGTAAGCATTATTTTAATGTCCGTGTTACAAATAGTCCCTCGTAGTGAGCACATGGTGAATCCTAATCACACATGAAATGCCATCAGAAGCTTTTCTGTGTTCTCCGCATTCCCGATAAACAAGCAAACACACCGTAAGGGTATAGCCTGCGTTTACCCGTCGTGCAAAAGCCACTCGTTGCACGGGGTAGAGCACGTCCCATTCTGCATCGCGGGAATGCTTGGTAAAAGAACCACTGCTGTGCAGCGTTGTTGACTCTGTCGCTTGCATATTTTTCAGGAATATCATGGCCTACTTCTCTTCTCCACCGCTCAGTCTCTCAGCATCGTATGCTAGTGTCAGCTCAGGCAGCAGGATTCTTATTTGCGGCTTTTTTCGGTTCGATTACTTTGATATGACTTGCGTTTGCTTTCACTTGTTCCTATCACTGTACTTCCTTACACATGGTCTCTTTTTTCAGCCCTACTACCTGCAAGTGGCGATGGCGCTCGCTGTTTCTGAGGCTGCTTCTATCTTATGTATGTGTGTGGTTGTATGTTTGTATACTCCCTATCCTTGAGACGGGGTAGGCGTGGCACAGAACTGGTTACTCGTGGGATATTTCAATTTGAGACAACCGCCATCTTGTTCTTTGTTGGACAGAGACGTGACCACATTTGGGTCAAAATGAAAATATCTCTCCAAAAGCATAGCCACCACGACGTTTAGTTGAAGTACGCAGCCACGCCTACCTCATCTCAGGGATTTCGTTCGATATGTTTGTGTGACCTCCCGAAAACTGAGGTTAGGAATGGATCAAGCTTGGGATGATTGTGACATAGGTCAACATTTACAGAGCACATACAGGTAATCAAGGCTCCACCCACAATGGGAGAAATGAAACGGTAATATTATAGAATGCGAAACTTTTTTTTCTGGCGAAGGCAGGCAATCCGACTGGTCCTCGGTTGGATATCAGGAGTAAAATATCGGGGAGTTGGAATATCGGGGACCTACTTCACACACACAACGAGGATTGTCCGCCATAGGCGGGCGATCCGAATGGTGAACATCATAATGGGTAAAATTGTAAGTGGTTCGACGCATCACAGAATGGAAGTTGTCCTGGGTTCTATGTTACTAGAGAATGTGAAGCCCCCCGTCACTCATGGGTACTAATGTTTTCTTCTACATGCGTAAGGCAGCCTTCAGACTTCGCAAAAAACTTCGCTCGGTCACGCGTTCGACGTGATTGATGCGCATGCTTTCAACTGCATATCGCGTTGAGCGCGTGATTGCATCCTGCCGTCGCGAAGTCTAAACGCTGCCTAAGGCAGCTTTTAGGCAGCGTTCATACTTCGCGACAGCAGCGGCGATCGCTGCGACCTGGGCTACCCGCGATCGTCGTTACATCGCCGCGGCTGCAGCGAACAGCCTAATTTGACCATTTTTCCCGTAAGATTCACCGTATATTCAAGTTTTGACTGAGGTAGTTGTTTCATTGTTTTTATGAAGTAGACTAGATGTACATCCGGTGGTGACGTCCGTTCCTCCAAGTGGTGCCACCGGGACCTGCTCGCTTTTGCGGGCTGAGCAGAACGCGGACGAACTCGAAAGCAGGCGACAGGCCTTCGTGACGGGCCGGCTTACGAACACCCCATGTCACATCATCATGTTTAACTATGCCTTATGAATTTCGAGATAATGCTACGGCGTCCGCGGGAGCCGACGCGCACTCGCAAGGCCCGACGAGTGTGAAAAATATGCGAGGGTCCTCGATGCAAGGACGGCATCGGGGGGCAACCAGGCTAGTCCAAAAGACGTGCAGTGTGTCAAAGGCTCGTATTGCGACGCTGAACGTTGGCACGCTCGACTAGACGAGTTAGCAGAAGCCCTAGAGCGTAGAAAGATCGACCTCTGTGCCGTGCAAAAGACGAGATGGGCTGGTTGCAAGTCGAAAGAGTTAGGTCGCGGCTTTAAAGCCGTTCATTATGTTGGGTCGTGTCTCAGCGATTCCGCGATTCGATTATGAGCGTAGTTCGTTTCGACGACCGTTTAATGAAGATTGTTGTCGCTATTGAACAACGACTGTACCACTTCTTCTGCATATGCCCCACAAACTGGATGCTCTGAGCAGTCCAAGGACGAGTTCTGGGCTCTGCTGGACGAGAAGACGGCTGAAGTGCCACCAAAAGACGGTATCATTGTAGCCGGCGATTTGAACGGACACGTGGGCGCTGCAAAAGACGGCTATGCTTGTCATGGCGGATTCGGCTACGGTTCACGGAACGCCGATGGTGAGCGAGTCCTTGAGTATGCAGAGTCGCATAATCTCGTCATTCTGAACACGAAGTTTCGTAAGCGTGACTCCCATCTCATACAGCGGGAGTACCAAGACACAAATAGACTTTGTGCTCATCAGACATGGCGACCAAGGACTCGTGACAGACGCTAAGGTAGTACCGTATGAAACGGTTGCCACGCAGCACCGCCCACTGATCTGCACGCTCAGACTTGTAGCTCCCAGACCGAGGCAGGCAGAACGATGCGGTCCTGAAAGAATAAAGTGGTGGCGACTGAAAGAGCGGGAGGCAGCTGTGATTTCTCGTATTCGACTACCTGAAGTCACAACTGTTCAGGAGACCTGGAACGAAGCCGTTAGTTCCAGGCCGCCTCCGAACTCGGCACAACGAAGCCTGGACGGCGGAGGATTGACAAAGAGGCATGGCTCTGGACGGACGACGTCAAAGCGAAGGTTCGAGAAAAGAAAAGACTCTATCACGCGTTTCTCGAGCACAAGTCGGCTGACAACTGGCGGCAGTATCGGGAAGCGAGGAAGGCGGCAAAGACGGCCGCTCACTTCGATGATATCAGCAAGAAGCTGGAGACGCGCGACGGTGAGCGGTACCTGTACGGACTTGCCAAATCTCGTCATCGCCAAACCGAAGACATTGAGAAGTTTTTGGCATAAGTGATGAGAATGGCCACCTTCTGATGGACCGAAAAAGGGTATTGCAACGATGGCGTGAATACTTCGAGGGCATCTCAACGGTGGAATTCGCCCATCCCGCTATACCCTGTACCGCACCAACATATGGCCCCGTTCAGAAGATCACCGTACAGGAAACCGAAGCTGCTCTGAGGAAGACGAAGGCCGGCAAAGCAGGTCTTCGTCTTCCTCAGAGCTGCTTCGGTTTCCTGTACGGTGATCTTCTGAACGGCCCCGACAAACAGCCGTTCAGAAGATCACCGAACACGACAACGATCTTTTAAACAGGCCCCGACAAGAGGACATCGCAGCTGATTTGTGGAAGTCACAACGCTGGTTTTCTGCGGGTTGGTTGACGAAACTCTTCAACCAGATCGTCGAAGAGAAGAAGGTGCCTAAGGACTGGCAGCAGAGCGTGACGATCCCGATTTGGAAGAAGAAGGGCAACCCGGCAGATTGCTCGAACTACCGTCCAATTCGCCTTCTCTCGCACACTATGAAAATCTTTGAGCGAATTGTTGACGCCCGTGTTCGTGATATCGTCCAGCTTTCCACCAACCAGTGTGGCTTCGTGGCGGGTTGTAGCACCGTCGACGCCATACATGCCGCTCGCCTACTGCTGTAGAAACACCTTGACGCTCTCCCACTTCTTTTCGTTGCCGTCATGGATGCCATCTCACGAGATCTTCAGAAGGAAGTGCCATGGACCCTGCTTTACGCTGATGATGTGATGCTTGCTTGTGAAGATAAGAGCGCACTGGAACAGCAGGTGCAAGCTTGGGCCGAGCGTCTGGCGAAGTTTGGACTCAGGTTGAACGTCAACAAAACCGAGTACCTGACAACCGACCCAAATGAGCCGGGCTCCATTAAGATCGATGACACGGTGCTCAAGCGCACGGAAACATTCAAGTATCTCGGATCAGCACTTGCGTCCGACGGCAGTCGGCGATCCATGTCTGGGATCCTTTGCGACAAGAAAATGCCAGAGCGTTTCAAGTCAAAGATCTATCGTACTGTCGTCCGACCTGTCGCGTTATATGGTGCCGAGTGCTGGCCCGCGACCAAAGAAGTTGAGGCTCGCCTTGGTGTGATGGAGATGAAGATGTTGCGCTGGACGGCGGGCGTCACGCGATCGGACCGCATTTGTAACGATGTCGTGCGCAAGAAGTATGGTGTAGCCCCCATAGCAGAGAAATTGCGTGAAACGCGCCTTCGATGGTACGGGCACGTACTTCGCGCGAGGCTGACACCGTCCGTAAAAGCTGCAAATTCGAGGTACCAGGAAAGCGAAAGGGCGTCCTCAAACAGCGCTGGCTCGACACGCTGCATACCGACTTGAAAATAGCCGGCATTCAATCGGGAAAAGTGGCGTAGTTATATCAAAAAAGCGGACCCCGCCATCGAGCGGGACAAACGCTGATACCAGTTTGCAGTCTTGAAAGGTTAGAAGATCTGGCTGGCCTGAGAGGGAGTCGATCCGAGAAGTGACCAGCGGACTTCGCGAGTGATAAGCGTGCCACCTGCCATTACATCACTCCCATTTCATTGAAAATGGAACGGATGAAGACAATAGCTTCCGGTTTTTGAACTTGGAACGAAATCGGAAAAGGAGCCTGAATGGATCCCAGTGCCCACTGTTGATGTTTTTCAGGTACCGTTGAGACTTGCAAATTCACGAGGGAGTAATGGGGTACGAACAAGAGAGGAGGAGTTCCCAGAATGAGAAAATTCCTCTGGAAAAGTAACTTGGATTGATTGGGCCCTCCGTCGCCATTAAAAATATTCGAGAAGTTTCACCTGCTGATGTGCACGCGAGAAGACATGAATGAGATTGCTGCAATCCTTCAACTTACATCGCAATCTCCGAGAGTAGTAAGAGCATGTGTGATGAAATACCCGAGCGTATTCGAGTAGGAAGGGCCGGAGGGATAAAAAGCGTGGAATCGTGGATGTTGCCAATGAGTTATCTGAAAGACGCATATACCTCTCAGAATTTCATCAAAGTCAAATTCCAAGAGTCAAAATTTTGTTGTAGGCGATAAGAAACACGAAAAAAAGGAAAATCCATGTGAAGGTGTTTCTCGGGACTACGTGCCTACTACGTTGCGCAAGTTTGCATTGCGACTCTCTGCACGCACCACCGTAAAATAGGTGGTAGGACACATTCTGGCTGCTCATAATCTATAGGTGGCGAGATCCCTCCTTTTTTGCCCGAGAAATCCTGCGGACAGGAAGGCGCGATAACTCTGATGTCTGGCAAAGCAAGATGCGCTTTTCAGATCAGCGTTCATTACATTTTGTGGTCTTAGGCTGCGTTTACACTGCGGCAGCGTACGCTAGCGTTTCCAGCGTTCGGCAGCGGCAGTGGCAAGGGAAGGATGGATATCGATCTAGCGTCACCAGCGTACGCTAGCGTAGCGAGGGCAAGGAAAGCATAGGTATCGACTAGCGTTTTAGGTATATATGTATATGTATGTTATATGTAATATATAATGTTTGGGTTTACATAGGGTTTGGGTTTTCTCTAAAGGGTTTGGCGATCTAGGCTCCGCCCCTTGACCACGCCCACTTGCTTTTTGCGGAATTTTGATATTTTTTTCAAAATTTTTGCATTTTTGGTGTGCTACGTGAAGCCCCGCCCACTGTGAGAGGCTCCGCCCACTTTGAAGAAGCCCCGCCCACTTTTCAAAAATGGTGCAAATCGGCAGTATAGAGTCTCGGCTGGCATGCTAGGGTATTGCTGATCATTCGGAACATTTGCCTGATTTTCTTGTTCCGAGTGACGAACGAGACCCTAGCATGCAAGCCAAGACCTTATACTGCCGACTTGCACCATTTTTGAAAAGTGGGCGGGCTTCTCCAAAGTGGGCGGAGCCTCTCACAGTGGGCGGGGCTTCACGTAGCAGTCCAAAAATGCAAAAATTTTGAAAAAATATCAAAATTCCGCAAAAAGCAAAGTGGGCGTGGTCAAGGGGGCGGAGCCTAGATCGCCAAACCCTTAGGAGAAAGAAAACCCTAGCGTTACGCTAGCGTACGCTGGTGACGCTGATCGATATCCATCCTTCCCTTGCCATTGCTGCCGCCGAACGCTGGAAACGCTAGCGTACACTGCCGCAAAGTATAAACGCAGCCTCGCGAGCCAAATCACGGCACCTAGAGAGGGCGTGTCCGCAGAATCAAGTGTGAGCTCGGCGAAGGGTGATTTCTCTGTAGCACTGTCGATTCGATTCAGAAAAGTTAAGCTTCCGACGCGTTCAGTTGTTATCTTAGCAGCTAGTTTATGGTTGATAAAGTCTGGTTGAACAACGCAGCCGATGGTCGCGTGCGCACTTGGCAGGTTCACCTAATCGGTCCATATCTGACAATGAGTGCGAGGAGGGGCATTTTTCATGTAGGTAGTTACGAGAGTGCTACAATTGCAGAGTTCAAACGCAGAAGGATCAGAGACGTAGGTATAGGGAAACAGAGTGGTGGTTCAATAAACAACCTTCGGGCTTGTAACTAGGTACATGTCAACGCCTCCTCTTTGGCTTCCGATACGGACTGCATCACACTTACCGGACATAACACAAGTAACTTACCCTTGTTATAATTTTAGTTTTGATGTCGTGCAACAATTCTTCGAAAGTGTCTGGTGTTTCTGGTGCTCTGAGCGACATTGTATTATAGAGAGAGCCAGGCAGGTCGTCTACAATTATATATAGTACTGAATTCAGTGCTCGCAAACCATCTACTATGTTGCGTCGGAGTCTTCTTCACTATCATCATTTAATTTGGAAAGTGAATAACCTTATGATAAGCAACGACTATTTCAAAAAAATGACCTTATGAAAAGCAACGACTCTTCATTTAAGGAGTCACTACTACACCTTTGACATCTATCTATTGGCTTAATGGTTCTGTCCTTGTTAAAAGGAGCTGGCTTTCAAGGAGGGAGATTGCGATCTCCATAGTGCTTATATCCGGGGTTTTTTCCGTCAAGGTGATTTGGGGTACTCCGAGGAAGAAGAGTCTAAACATCCAAAGAAAATGGAGGGTGATCTCTCCTGCCATCTCGATGATGGGCTGCTCCACTTCCTTGTCCCATGGCTCGGTGAACAGGTGCGTATCCGCGTCACATCCGTCAACCCGTTTAGTTTGCAATGCCTGTAAATCATGCCTTTTTCTTCTTGACTAGTATTCCGCATTTTCGTCGCAGTAACTTTGTATTGTGCCGCTTCTTTGTGTCTCAATTATTGTATAGGCTTATACTAACATTATTCAACAGTTGTACTGACATGCAGTAGTGAGCACGAAATGGATTAGGCACTCCTTTATTAGTTATGTACTTCTATGGCCCAACCGTAGCATAAGCACTCATGGCTGGTGCCGTGGAGAAGCCTAACATGCTCGTTGCCAGCGACAGATTTGCCTGCGTAAACAGTTCTATACGAGCAACACGTCCTCTGCGAGGGTGTGGGCCTTCCTGAAGCCCACGTAAAGCGTGGCACTGTTTAGAGCGCCACTGACTCACTTCTCCATCCTCTCTCCAGTCACGACAGATGACGAATCGTCTTCCACTCGGAGTCCCTCGAAAATTCTCGAAGAAAATTTGCAAAATGTCGTCGTGTGTAGTCATGAATACGAAATTTACTCCAGTAGCCGCCTCTTGTTGATCTGTACGCTGTTACAGTGATGGGAAACACCAAATGTTTCACCCTACGAATACTTTGCCAGCGGGTCATACAGCAAAACCTGCAGTTTATTCAAGAATGTGGTGGAGCCTTGGGATCACACTTGCTTCAATGGTTGATGTACATAGGAGCTTCAAGGCGGATCCATGATTCTTTCCCAGAAATCAACCGGGTAAGCCAGACAAAGGTCGCAGATTATCCCAGAATGATAACTGTGGTTTGACGCGGGTTTGGTATCACAAGAATGTTGAGTTATGAGCAGAAGTCAGAACTCAAGGGATACTCGAACCGGGACCTCTCCTTACGGCTAAACGCTTAACCCGTCAGATGTGTGAGTGCTGTAATGCTACCACCACAACACAAAAGCTGAGAGGGATAGGATAGCCCTGGAAGCGTAATGGATAGCACAGTTGCCAAGTCATCAGAAAATACGAGTTCGAGCTTCGCGTGGGGTTTGATTTTTGTGCATAACTAAGCATCTTGTTGTAATGTACCACCTGTTTCTCTGAGCTCCATGCAGGACCCTCACTGAATTAGTGCGATGACCTCTTCGAGACAACTTCTTGGCAGACAACGCTAGCGTCGCGTCCTCCCGGCGAGTGGTTTGCCGGGACGGTAGTCACAAGAGAGATTTGGGAGTCCGTGTGAACGGGTGTTACAGTAACCCTTGATTGACATTGGAGCACGGTGTGGCATTAGAGCAAATGAATGTGTGGTCTACCAGACAAAACACTCCTGGTTCCTTATACACTCTGTTCATTGTTTATGTTTTCTGTTAGCATTTAGTGAGGTTGCAGGTTGCAGCACATGCTAGTACTCAAAACCGACACCGTTAAGGACAACACTGATTACAGATTTAGTTTCACTTTTTCAGGATCTACTCAAGAATTGCTTACTTGCTTGCAGGAATTGCTTTTGAAATTGCTTTGTAGCTCCTTCATTCTTTTACAACTAGAAAGGTCAGTTCTGTGTGATACTTTGTAATATTTTTATTCTGTATTACTTATAATATGATAATTTGCCTCCGTTTCTGCACGAGCTCATCATATTTACATTTTTTGCTGCTGAACGCAAATTTCTTGCTGCGTTGTCCGATGAGTTCGTGGGACCACTATGATGCTTTTTAAAGTACTCGCTAGAACTTGTGGTGAATCTCTTCAGATGCCCATGTCAGCGACGTCGGAATGTTTTTTATGTGGTGAGGAGGTTCTGCGTCTGTATGATCACTTGTTCAAATACCACGACTACACCAGGGAAGAAATTAGTTGTCTCAGATGTCTCCTGCGGCCAAGAAAATGCGGACCATCGCCGTTCGTCCAGAGGTTTCGATGAGAGGACCTGCACCAAAAGATGCGAAACCCATCCGCATGAAAACAGTTGGTTGGTTTGGTTGTCAAGTATTTTGTGGGTGCACCTTCAGGACTTTTTTCAGACATCATTTATCAACCGAGAAAAGCGGAAGACGAAATTTGAAGCGCCTAAGGAGTTTTCGTCGGCAGAAGTGCGGGTCTGTGGGAGTTGTTTCCTGGAAAACCCGATTGATAATGTTGATGATGATATTTACTGGTTAAAATGCACTTTTTGCGATTGCTGGGGCCACCTCGGCAGTTGTGTTGCACTCAGTGCACAGTGACTGTATGTAGTTCAGGGAAAATGGAGTACAGTGAATGCTGACTCTTAGGAATTTCACTATTTTTTCGTTTTTGCTATGCTTGATGGGTTTTCTAGTGTTGCTACTGTTGTTGACTTGTATTTACTCTCGCTTGGTGTTTTTTGGTCTCATTTTTGTCAAGAATCCTCTGTCTTTCCTATAATTAGTGATCTAGCATAACGTCCACTTTCCACTCACTGGTAATCGTAGATTCGCTCATTTGTAGATCTGTGTGCAAGTGGCACTGATTGTTAATAAATTGCGCTCTTCCTATGCAAAATCACTGACTGTTAGATAAACGCACGACAGAGATGAGAAAAGTTATTTTTATTTCGAGTTACATATTGTTTGTTGTTATTGTTTGTAGCTCTCTCCGGTCATATCTGTAGTCGCCACAAGCAATTTTCCAAACTACATAACTGAATAAACAGGGTTGTTAAAACCTCATCTTACGACACAAAAATCCTCAAGTATTCATGGCGTGTTACATCTCAAGTTACATAAATTCGGAATCATGTTGGGTAGAAATCACTTCCAACACAGTCGAACCGTTCACACACCAGGTGACACAACTTCAGATTCCACTCTTGATAACACAATTTCAAATTCCATTTGTTAAAACCAAATCAACCCAAATCAACAATGCAAGAATGGTCCCACTTCGTTTCTGCCTTACTGAAGGCCAATTTCTTGAAGGATTTATCGATCATGCTCTAATGCCACATCGCGCTCCAATGACAATGGGTTACTGTAACACCCGTTCACACGGACTCCCAAATCTCTCTTGTACGGTAGTCATGCTATTCGATTCATGAGCAAGAACACGTGACGTGACAGCTTTCAGGTGACAATTTCCAGCGAGGAATGACCGACAGACGCAGACGTTCTACTGTGTATAGAGTAGAGCCTCTTATTCGTAAGCATTATTCAACGACAAATGCCACTTGGTCTGTAGAATGAAAAAAGAACATTCGCCACAAAGGACTTTTGAGAGTCTGTGACTACCCAGCTGATTATTTCCACCATCTCATTGCTTCAGGTGCGTTTTATCCATAACGGACTTTTTCACTCGTCAACGTCGTTTGTGGCTAATGTTCTTTTTTCAAGAACTGCGGAAAAATGACACAGATGTATCAGACAACTTACTTCGACTCCTTACATTATAATGCTAACAATCAATGGTGAAAAGACTTTCGGCTCCATCTACTGCGAAGGACTGAGGGCAAACTGTACACTCCCTTCGAGTAAGGTCTTTTCTATGTGTGAGGTGAATGGCGCCGCAATAGTGGGCCCATTTCTCTCTTCCAGTCTGCACGGAAACGGGGCTGCGGAGTCAATACCTGTGAGCCGTCTTCATACTTCACCTGCGATATCCTCAAGGCGCAGCACATGCGTCGCTATTAAAAACCCGCAGCGAGCACGCAATCAGAGCTGGAGAACAAATAGAAGTGGGAGGGGAGGACAAGTAGCACGTGTCTGTGCTTTAGGCACGTGGCTGGTCGTTCGGCAACGGGCGGAGAGCAGGGTAAAGCTCCACGTCGCGTGAAATTGGAGGTTCCCCCATCCCCTCCTAGAAAGGGGTGCCACATTCCCCTCTCCCTTAGTGACTGTGGAGTGTGTGGAGTGTCTGCTGTGTTCATTAGAATGTATATTGTGTGTGTTATGCGAATTTTGCCGCGCTTTCGGCCCATTGCATTCACATAGTTTTTTTCAGAAGGGTATAATATTATTCAGAAAACATCTTCCGCAGGGTGGTAAGGACGATTCAAGTTGTGTGGCTCGATTCCATACAAAATACCTTGCAGATTTCATTGAGCTCGTATGACCGCTACTGGCCAGAGAATATGCGGAGAATTATTGAAACGTGAAATTCCTTCGTTTCAATGGATATAACTTCGTTCAGACATAAAGCGAACGGAGGTCTACATGGCGTTGGAAAGTGGAAGGTTCTCCTTTTTAATGTGTGCACATTATTGCTGCAGCCTAATCAGAGCAAAAGTTTGCCCGTCACGGATTTCCGATTGAAGTCAGCTTCATCTGCAGTGTGCAGGGGATCTCCCCTGCAAAGCACACATTTCCATCTAGGAAGTTCGGTGGGCCGGGCCTCTCGTATACCTCATCATCATGCAGTGAATAGAAACTGCAGCACAGCGGCACTGATCAACACTTTATGGAGTGCATATTGTACTCGACTCCCTTTCCGAACGCATCAATCTTCTCGCAAATACGTCCCTACTGTAGTAAGTCTCTGCAAACACGCCCCTCCCGAAAGACAAATGCCAGCCTCCTCGTAGCGGATTCGGCGAAGTAGGCTTGACCCTGTGATGGGGATGAC